AACTAACCTTCCAACTAGGTTAGTTCTCTGTAGTTGCTAGGTTAATTCTCTCTAGTTGCTAGGTTTGTTCTTTGTAGTTGCTAGGTTAGTTCTATGTAGTTGCTAGGTTAGTTCTCTGTAGTTGCTAGGTTAGTTCTCTGATGTTGCTAAGTTAGTTGTCTATAGTTGCTAGGTTAGTTGTCCTTTGTTGCTAGGTTATTTCTTTATTGCTGCTAAGTTAGTTGTCTTTTGTTGCTACGTTAGTTATCTTTAGCTGCTAGGTTAGTTGTGTTTTGTTGCTAGGTTAGTTATCTGTTGTTGCTAGGTTAGTTATTTGTAGCTGCTAGATTAGTTGAGTTTTGTTGCTAGGTTAGTTGTCTTAAGTTGCTAGGTTATTTTTTTCTTGCTGCTAGGTTAGTTGTCTTTTATTGCTAGTTTTTTTTTCTTTTTTGATCAAGACCCGGAAACTAGGGCCCAAAGTGTCAACATAGTCTCACAATCCAAACAGAAATGAAAACAGAAAATGAAAATAGAACAAGGTCTGTCATCGGGCTAACAGGTGCCCGGAATAAATGGATGGTCTAAGAAAACCAAAACCAGAAACCTAATCTACTGGAATCGAAACGATGGATATCCCAGCTGATCCATCTGAACTAGCGTGCGAAGACGGAGTGGAGCAGTGTAGGTCTGATACGTGTGCGTGTCTGGTATGGTAGCGCCAAGACTGGCAAGGTAATCAGCAGGTTTGTTCCCCTCACGGAAGATGTGTGTGATCCTGTAATGGACAGACCGAAGTAGATCTCTAATGCGCATAAGTGGGTGCTGAATCTGCCACGAGCCCTGATGACCCGAGGCCAGGAGGGTGACGACAGCCGCTGCGTCCAGCTCAATCCAAATATGACTAGAGAGGTCGGCAGCAATCTGAAGGCCAATCTGTAATGCCTGAATCTCTGCATCGTAGCTCGAGGATGCCTGAAGGGATGTGTGGAAGGCGGCGATAAGAGCTCCACTGTGGTCCCGGATCAAGCCTCCTCCTCCGGCAGTACCGCTATGGCGATCGAAAGATCCATCGGTGTTCAGCTTGACCCAAGGAGAGTCGGGTCGAAGCCAAACAACAGCTCTGGGCCGAGGGGACCGAACAGGCGGAGGGGGAGCCACCCTGTAGCGGTGCGGTGGCGTGCAGCCTGTCCACTCACGTGCAGAAAGCCTGCCCAACGCTGTGAGGAGCGAAACGTGTCTCTCCACCTGCAAAACAATGTGAGAAAGCAAGAAAGTAATATCCCTATGCTTCGCACTATTCCTTTCCGTCCAGGTGAACCAAAGGATCAGACAAGGAATGAGGAAGCTCACGTGTCTAAAGTGTGTGCTCTGTGAGAAAAAACTCAGGAGCTCAAAAAAACTGTATGTGGTGGGTAGGGATATATGAGTCCAAGTGGCAAAATGCTCCCACACTCTCCTCACAATCTCACTCTCTAGAAAAAGGTGGGTAAAGGTCTCAGTCTCATGGCGTCCAGTCTCAGAACAACACACACACCGAGAGGGGAAGAGGATCCCTCTCGCGTGTAGCACAGTATCGACGGGTATCCGGCGCAAGAGGAGGCGCCAAAGGAACACCGAAATAGTAGGCGTGAAAAGGTCACTCCAGATAGCCCCGAAGAGGAGATTAGGCCGATCCCTCAGCCTTATCTGCTCCCAAGCCGAGGTAGTAGAAAACACACCTGATGATGTAAGTCTCCACCTCATGCTATCTGAACCATCCCCCGAGATAGGGATCTGCTGGATCTGATCTAATAACTGCTCGCTAAAACCCGCACCAACCCCCAACTCCCTATCAAGCTTCCCCCTATCCCACGACCCGTCCGACCATAGGTCGCTCACGAGCAGGTAGGGGGAATGCGACACCTGCCTATCCCTAGACAAAGGCCTATCACCTACCCACCACTCATCCCAAACACTGACATCGCCCCTGCCCAAAACCCAAAAGATGTGATCCTGGGCACCCCTCCCGACCCTAGTGAGGCGCCGCCACTGTCTGCTATCATGATCAACAGCAGTGACCCAACAAGGGTGGTTGGCAAGTCTAGGGCGTTTGTTGTTGCTAGGTTAGTTATTTGTAGCTGCTAGGTTAGTTGAGTTTTGTTGCTAGGTTAGTTGTCTTAAGTTGCTAGGTTATTTTTTTCTTACTGTTAGGTTAGTTGTCTTTTGTTGTTAGGTTAGTTCTTTCTTGCTGCTAGGTTAGTTGTCTGATGCCGTTAGGTTAGTTGTCTTTTGTTTCTAGGTTATTTCTTTCTTGCTGCTAGGTTAGTTGTCTTTTGTTGCTAGGTTAGTTGTCTGATGCTGCTAGGTTAGTTGTATTTTGTTGCTAGGTTAGTTGTCTGTTGTTGCTAGGTTAGTTAATTGTAGCTGCTAGTTTAGTTGAGTTTTGTTGCTAGGTTAGTTGTCTTAAGTTGCTAGGTTATTCCTTTCTTGCTGCTAGGTTAGTTGTCTTTTCTTGCTAGGTTAGTTATCTGTAGCTGCTAGGTTAGTTGTGTTTTGTTGCTAGGTTAGTTGTATTTTGTTGCTAGGTTAGTTCTTTCTTGCTGCTGGGTTAGTTGTCTGATGCTGCTAGTTTTTTTTTTTTTTCTCAAACAACGCCCCGAGGGGCGGGGGATTAGGCTGGATCCACAACCTGTATATAGATCATAGCCCTAAAATGGGCCAAAACACTCAACATAGTCTCACAATCCAAACAGTACAGTAACGAAAACAGCAAATGAAATTAGTAAAAGGTCTGTCATCGGGCTAACAGGTGCCCGGAATAGGTGGATGGTCTAAGAAAAGCAAAACCAAAAACCTAATCTACTGGAATCGAAACGATGGATATCCCAGCTGATCCATCCGAACTAGCGTGTGAAGGCGGAGTGGAGCAGTGTAGGTCTGATACGTGTGCGTGTCTGGTATGGTAGCGCCAAGGCTGGCAAGGTAATCAGCAGGTCTGTTCCCCTCACGGAAGATGTGTGTGATTCTGTAATGGACAGACTGAAGTAGATCTCTAATGCACATAAGCGGGTGCTGAATCTGCCACGAGCCCTGATGACCCGAGGACAGGAGGGTGACGACAGCCGCAACGTCCAGCTCAATCCAAATATGACTAAAGAGGTCGACAGCAATCTGAAGGCCAATCTGTAATGCCGGAATCTCTGCATCGTAGCTCGAGGAGGCCTGAAGGGACGTGTGGAAGGCGGTGATAAGGGCTCCACTAGGTCTGATGCTGCTAGGTTAGTTGTCTTTTGTTGCTAGGTTAGTTCTTTCTTGCTGCTAGGTTAGTTGTCTTTTGTTGCTAGATTATTTCTTTCTTGCTGCTAGGTTAGTTATCTTTTATTGCTAGGTTAGTTGTCTGTTGTTGCTAGGTTAGTTGTGTATTGTTACTAGGTTAGTTGTCTGATGCTGCTAAGTTAGTTGTATTTTATTGCTAGGTTATTTCTTTCTTGCTGCTAGGTTAGTTGTATTTTATTGCTAGGTTATTTCTTTCTTGCTGCTAGGTTAGTTGTCTTTTATTGCTAGGATATTTATTTCTTGTTGATAGGTTAGTTGTCAACGGTCAATGTCAGAGTCAACGTCATCAACTAATAATTATTTTATTATTTAATTAATGTATATTTTAATTGATTTTGATCTAGGCAAAATGAGTGGCTAAGATTGAGTCTCACGTATTCATTTTAAGGAGTGGTCTTATTGGATCCGCACCCTATATTTATATATGGTTATGTTTGGCTTAATGAGTGGCTAAGATTGAGTCTCACGTATTCATTTTAAGGAGTGGTCTTATTGGATCCGCACCCTATATTTATATATGGTTATGTTTGGCTTTATTTATCAATTGTAGTAGAGGAATTGTAAAAAAAAAATAAAAAAATGTGATGAAATTAAGAGTATATTTTTTCAGATTTTGTATTTCATGCATTACTAATTAAATCTCAACTATGTTACGTTGAATTATAGAGAATATAACTATTATTTTATATTTTTTATGGATAAAATGGTGCTGGATGGATGAAGAATAAGGTGTGTGATTGTTGAGGTGTGACAAACACGCTAAACTAAAAGTTTTTGTGATTGCAGGGTTAGTTCCTTGGTCAAATTCCTCAACTTCCATTAGCAAACTTATGTTCCATCGATAATCACACAATACATCAGCAGTTTCGTTTAAATTTATGTGTTCGTATTTAATTAGTGTGTTCAGTGTCTTTTTTCTTCTTTTTCAAAACGACATATATTATAATTCAGAAGGAATATACAGAGTTCGGAGTCGGAAAAACCCAAATGCAACAAAGCATAAGAAAGGAGACACCAGCTCCTTTACAAACTAGCACACAAAAAAGACGGGGATAACACCCGGCTAAGGTTAAAGCTTAGAAACCGATGGTGAAACCTGACTCAAATTCAAGCATAGAGTTCACCAATGTGATTTATATAAGGCTGCAAAAATAACTAACCACTTAACCCCAAAATGGACCTAGTTAGTTATCAAAAGATCTAAAGGAAAAGACAAGCAAGCAAACTAGAACGAAAACTACATAAACCAAAGGAAACTAACTAAAGAAAACACTAAACACAGACATTAGCGATTCCAACCAATCTGTCACCACGAGCTTAACCGTATCCAATTCTGATCAAAGAGAGTTTTGGAACACCCAAAGATTGTGTGTCTTCCACATCCACCAAAGGACATAACTCGAGAGTTGAAGTCTGTCCTCCATGATGGGTTTATGAATGACTGAGCAAAGACTCAACTACCAATTTTTGAAATTCCTTGTATGAGGTTTAAGTCCGTCCCATGATAAAACAACTAACTTCCATATAACCTTGGCTCTGCTACAATGAAAGAACAAGTGTTCTTGAGTTTCTGTTCCTTTCCCACAAAACTTAATGTCTGATCAGCCAGCAACCCTTTGGAACTTAAGTTATGTAGGACCGGGAGGATGTTATTGCTTGCTTTCCAAAGGAAATGCTTGATTTTGTCTTTTATTTTTAGACACCACGTTCTCTTTCTTTTCTTCTGCTCTTCCTTCTAGTTTGCACTTATCTCTGCTATATCCATCTTTCTCCGATGTTGTTCTATTAACTTTAAGTATGTCGAGGATACTGAGGATTTACCACTGCTACTCCAATCCCAAATTAGTCTGACCATGCCATGGGGATCAAGTCCATCAATTTTCAGTATACCTTCAGCAATGTCAGCATTAAAGCTTTGTTTAATCAATCTTCTATTCCATCTCCTGCCTAAGCTCTCTATAAAGTCCCTGACTACTGTGAGCTATTAATGTTTTGCATCATCTTTGAAAAGCTTGAGGTTAAGATAGCTAGGTATCCATAGATGCTCCCATATATTCACTGTTTAGCCATCTCTGATTTGAAACCTAAGGCCTGCAACAAAAGTGTCTTCGATCTTCCACCAGCTAGCCCAGAGCCATGAGCTGTTATGCTTTTTCTTGGATGATAAGAAGCTATCTGTGGGGTAGTACCTTCATTTGAGGATCTTGGTGACAAGAAGAGCAGGTTGCGATTGTATTCTCCACAGCTGGTTTGATAACAAAGCCTTGTTAAATGTGTGTAAATCATGGAACCCCCAGCCCTCCCAATTCCTTTGGAAGTGTTATCTTTATCCATACTTTCCAGTGGAGTCCTTTTGAAGTTTCATCCATATTGCTCTACCAGAAGTTTGAAAATACACTTGCTATTTTGTTAAAGACTGAGTGAGGTAACAAGAAGCAGGACATTTGTGTATGTTGGCAAAGCCTCCAACACAGCTTTCAGTATGACTCTTTTCCTGCAAAAGAAAGGAACCTATTTTCCCAGTTTGATACTTTTTTATTTACAACAGCCTGAACATAAGAGAAAGAAGCATTTTTTTTTTTATTTGCCTATACCAAGGGGTAGACCCAGGTATTTTGAAGAGGATTGAGGTGAAATGCCTAACAGAATGCTGCATATTTCTTGCTGAAGGTCAAGGGGAGTATTCTTGCTGAAGAAAATTGAGGATTTTCGGAGGTTCACACTTTGGCTAGTTATTTTTGGTAGTTTTGGAGAATAAGAATCAGAGTGGAGATGGATATCAGCTTTAGAGAAAGGAGTGTATCATCTGCAAACATAAGTGAGTGATAGTGGGGGAATGCTTATTTATCTTGATTCCTTGCAGTTTTACTTTGGTTAATATAATTTTGATCAGGAAAGTGAGAATCTCTGAAATCAGGATAAAGATGTAGGGTGACAGGGGGTCACCCTGTCTAATTCACCTCTGTGGCTTGATGTAACCTACAACTTCACCATTCACATTGAAGGAAAAAGAAGAGGAGGTTATACGGTTCATAATCCACATCACATACAAGGAATTAAAACCCAATGTAAGCAAAATAAATATCACACTTTCCCATTCTACCCTATCAAAGGCCTTACTCATGTCTAGTTTCATGGCCATATAGCAAGTTTTCCCAGATCTATGACATTTAAGGTAATGAATCACCTCATTTGCAATGATAACATTATCAAGGATATGTCTATTAAACACAAAAGCAAACTGGTTCTCAGAAATACAAAAAGGAAGGCAAGGCTTAAGTCTTTAAGTCTATTAGCAAGGAATTTAGAAATCACTTTATGCACAACATTGCAAAGACTAATTGGCCTAAAATGAGAAACTTGGGAGGGGTTTAAACATTTAGGGATCAGAGTTATAATGGTGTAATTCAGAGATTTCCGAATTTTACTAGAGTCAAAGAAGCTAATAACGGAAGAGCAAAAGTCTTTATAAATTGAGTTCCAGAAGGATTGAAAAAAGGCAAATGGCATACCATCCGGGCCCGGGACTTTATGAGGATTAATGTTGTGCAAAGCTTCTTTGATTTCATCCAAGCTTACTAGTGCCACCAGGTCCTAATTCAAATCTTCAGGAATGACCTTTTGGATTCCTTGGAGCAATCTGTCTCCCTCTGATGATCCCTCTGTGGTGAAGAGGTCACTAAAGAAATCTTCAATGCAATGAGAGATTGAATCTTTCTTTTTATCGGTAAATATAAATTTATAGATCAAAACTGGAGTACAAACGAGCTACAAACGGCATACAAAGCGCAGTGGGCAGCCACAAGCTCGACTCCTCACTCACGAATAATAAGTCTAAGATGGCAACCACAGGTAGGTTGCTCACTCAGGTCCCAAAATAAGACAGAAAGACGACCATCAAGTTTTCCAAAGAAGGGACAAGCCTATACTCCATGGACTTTCCTCTCATATTCGGCAAGCACACTCGGATACAACGCAAAAATTGTATGACAAACATGAGTTTAGATCTTACGGCTTACTAGGCTCAGAGGTTTGGATTCATTTTCAAAAATCAACCTATTTCTCGCATTTCAAATTAAGTATACGATAGCTGTGAGCGCCACTTTGTTTAACTTGGTTTGCCAACTAGCCCCTCATGCCTTCTTCTTGGTCCATTTAAGAGCTCCTTTAAGTGTCAAAGGCCTATGACGGAGGCTAAACCAATCACGAATCACCCCTCAAATTCCCGAGCTAAAGGAGCATTCGAAAAAAAGATAACCTGATGATTCTACAACGCCTCGACAAACAGAGCAAGTCGGGTCTTCATCAAGGAACTCTAACAGGTCCTTTGTACGGAGATAATTGCACATTCACAAGAAATTAATGAAAGAGTGTTTGGGCGTATTGCAAGGGCCCCAAACCACCCCCGTCCATGGCACCAATGCACCGCAGGGTCTTAAGAAATCAAAGCAACTTCTCGACCCCTTTTGATTACCTCGTGAACTCCGACGATGAAGTAGAGCTTTCGCGGCTTGCTCACTCCCGCTTTATCTACCAAGGCCCGTCGAATCTCGAAAAGATATTTGAAAAGAGGCGATTCATCCTTGTGTATTTTCCATTCCCATGTGGACTTGCCCCCCAAATAAATGTGGTGGGTCCACTTGTACCATAAGGTATCTTTTTTGGCTTGCATGTTCCAAAGAGTGCGTGCAAGCAACGCTTGATTCCAAGCGTTCAAATCACGAAGACCCAAGCCCCCTTCCAAGCGCGGAAGACATAAGTTATCCCAAGCTACGAGAGCGCCTTTTGAGCCCTAGAGAAAACGCCTATATAGTTGGATAATTTTGGTACGCACTATAGTAGGCACGTGGAAAATCACCAACAAAAATCACTCGATACCTTGGACCACCAAGCGGATAGGTTCTACTCTACCAGCATATAAGAGTGTATGGCCGCTCCATCCGCTAAGTTGTGCCTCGATTTGCTAAACTAAGCCATCAAAGAGCCTTGCGGTGACACGTTCCGCGGTGAGGGGGACATCTAGGTAGCAGAAGGGCATTGGACCACATTGCAAGTACGTGTCATCAAATATTTTTGCCCGATTAGCATCATTTACTCCCGCCAAGTAAATATTGGATTTTTGAACATTCATTCTTGAGGCAATTCATGAAGATTTAGATGGACGATGGGTCGCTTAAGGAGAGTAGCATGAGATAGTCGGCGAAGGCAAAGTGTGTGATTTTGAGATGCTCACACTTCGGGTGGAATTTGAAGTTCTAGCCCTCCATTGTATTGCACTTGAAAAGCTTAGAAAAATATTTAATGCAAATCACAAACATGAAAGTCGATAGGGGGTCACCTTGCCTAAGTCCACGCGCCCCTTTGAAGTGCCCTTCGAGGCTCCCATTAATTGATACTGAGTATGATGGAGTTGTGACGCACTCCATGACCCACCTCATGAAGGCCGATAGAAAGCTAAGTCCCTCGAGCACTTGCTTCAAGAATGACCAAGAAATAGAATCAAAGGCTTTGAGAAGATCAATTTTGATGGTGCACCTTGGGGTTACCCTTTTCCGCATGTATTGTCGGAACAATTGTTGCATGAGGTGGATGTTGTCCGATATATTCCTCCCCTTGAAAAAAGCAGCTTGAGCCTCGTCAATGATGAAATCTAGCACTACACTAATTCTCCTAGCAAGGATCTTGGAGCAAATTTTGTACAAGGTGTTGCAACATGCTATTGGTCTAAAGTCTGTCGCTCGTGAATAGTGGGAGGACTTCGAACAAACGTGAGGGCTATGTGATTCCTTTGCTTGAGAAAAGAGTCGGACCAGGGCACTTTCCCCCTGCAATGTCACTAAGCGTAGCTTTGATATCGACCTCGGTCACAGGGGCAAAAAGCATACCATGTTGCTTGTCATCGATGAGCGGTCTCGAATTAAGAACATAGGAGTCCACATCCTCCGTGTCAATACCGGTCCCCAAGAGAGACTCATAGTAGCCCACAAATTCCTTAGTAACTCCATCAAGGGAGTCAATCACGGATTCATTTTCCCAGTTGATCAAGGCAATCAAATACTGCTTCGTTCTCTTCTGACCAAACACGATTGTTTGTCCAAGTATGAAAGAAACCACTCGAAGGTATATCCGATAGCCTCATGGTAACACATACATCAATAAGATCTATTGCATCCCGACGAGTGACTCTCTCCCCGTTAATTCTCTCCTCCGGCTTGAGGATAGCATTAAAGTTCCTAAGACGAAACTAAGATAGACTAATCCTTCCAGGATAGGCTTTGAGTGAATGCCATAGCAATTTTCAATCCCCTCGCGAATGGAGTCCATTAATAAAGCTAGCAACAAAGGAAGACTTACTAACTTTACAATGGACCGTAGAAAAAATGAGCGGCAGGATATCTCCCACCATGAGGTCGACTCTCGTAGGGTTCCAAATAGTGGCGATGCGCCCACGATCATTTACCTCGAAGTTATCACAAAAAGACCAACCCGGCAACCTTCTATTCACAAAGAGGGAAAGATGCCTATTGTCGGTTTCGTTTCCAAGAGTCCCAAAATATCTATATTATTCTTCTGGATGAGGTTAGCAACCTCATCTTGATTTAGGGGCCAGTTAAAGCCCATAATATTCTAATAGGCGATAATCATTGTGAAGAGGAAGGGTTGCCCCCCTTCTTCAAATGAGTTCCCTTTTTCGGCTCTTTCCTCACATTCGTTTTGTCTCTAGGCTTTGTTGGTTGTCAGAGCTAGTATGGCTCACGGAGCTACTCCATTTGTCTCTCTTGTTATGCTTCCCAACCAGTTGGAAAGAAGCGTCGTCGTCTTCTGGAAGTGAGGCCTTCGGATTTTGAGTGTCTCCCTTTTTCTTTTGTTACCTTGCCATTTGCATGCTTGAGCTTATTACCCGCAAACCCTATCTCCATTGGATTGCTATCATGGCCCTCAACTTGGTCCTTTGTCACCTCGGCTTTTGCATCCATGGCCTTCTTACTCGCATGCACCTCCAAAGGTGCTCCTTCTCCTAGGTTATTCGGTGTCCTAGTAGCTTTCTTACCTTCGGCCTTTCTTGCTTAGTGGGCCTTCTATTTCCCACAATTGGGGGTATTGTGTCCAATAAATTTGCAAAAGTTGCAATAATGGGGGACGTACTCATATTCCACCTTTTGCTGAACAAGAGCCCATCTTTGGAAGTGACCGGAACACTAAAAATTCTCTCTTTCAAGAGGCCTAGCTCCACCAAAACTCGGGAGTAGTTGCACCAGTCCCTCGTTGCCATTAATTTGTCAGTTGTGATAAGCATACCGACACAAGAGACTATCTTGCCAAGAGCCTTAGCATTCTAACATTCACCAGGAAGGAGTGGAAGGTTGATCCATGCGGGGACAATTTTGATATCGTCTTCACCAAATTAGAACAAGCCCCCTTCCATAAATTGTGTAAGGACCTCCATGAAGGACCTTGTCCCTATCTTCCTCGGTCTTGAACTTGAAGACGATCTAACCGTTGACATTGAGGACGTAGACGTATTGGACATTCCACATACTGCATAGCTTCAAAATAGCCTCCTTGCCCCGGTGCCTTTGGGTAAAGTACCCGACAAGACAAAAACCAAACGTGCTTGTGACATCCATAATATTATCTTCGTCAAAGAAAGCTCTACCATCCACTGCGGGAATGTAATCCAATTCGAGGCCTACATAGGCCTTGCGGTTGTCGGCAAAGAGAGCCGAAAAAGGCCTCTTGTGTGAAGTGGAGTCCCTTTGAGGCATATCCTCCAACACCTTTTGTGCACCATTGGTAGCTAGAGCTTTGAGTGGTTCTTTCAAAGCTTCTAAATTACCCCCAGATTTTTCAACAATTATAACCTCATTTTTAGCTGCTAAATTAATCCTTAATCCATCATTAAGCACATGGGTCTCCGTATTAATTACCAAAGCAGACCCCTTACATTTAGCGGATACCCTCCGTTCAGCGAGAGGAACCTGCTCGTCCATGGACTCATGTATATCATCCTCAGCCTCTTCACAACTATGGGCCAAGCATTCCACATCCGTCTGCTTTCTGAAAACGGTCTTCTTCTTCGATTTGCCCATTTCCCCCTTTTTTACTTGCAGAAATTACTGTAGCGCTGGGAATTACTAATAAAGCTGCGCGGGTGCACTTGAAGAAGATGAACCCGTCATGCCCCAAAACCAGAAAAAACTAGCGCGAATCAACTCGAAAAAATAGCAGCAATGCCTGACCAGCGAATCCAGCAACTAATCCGAGGTAAATTAGGTAAATCGTGCAAACATCCGCGAGTTGAAGTGGTACGTTGCTGCTCCAAAATACCCTAGATATTCGTCCAAAAATGGAGGTATTCGAATTGGTATAAACTTGGGAAGGATGCTAGGAGTGCGAGGTGCAAGATTTCTGAAGAGAAATTCATAAAATCAAAGGTAAAAAATCTCAAGATTAAGCCAAGCGCTAGGTAGCGTGAGTTTCCTAGTGAGAGGTGTTCTTCCTTCTCTCTAACTTGCCTCTGAGAGATGTTGCATCTTTGCTTTCACAAATGGTGTTGTCCTTTCTGATAAGTTTGAAGATTTGATTCTTCTTCCTCCTCTGCATTGTCTAAGCATGGAAATATTTGGAATTTTATCCCCATTTTTTAGCCATGTGATCCTAGATTTCTGCTCCCAGTATTGCTCCTCTGTTTTGTAGGCTTCATTCAACTCTCTTTGCAAGTGGTCCCAAGATCTTCAATCCCTCAGTCCCCCCTGCTCCCTGAGATTAGTCAACTTTTGGTTGCAATATTCCATCTTTTTAGCATTTTCAGTCCTGAAAGTGTTGCTCCATTTGAGCAATTCCACCCTAGTTTCTCTGATTTTGGACTGTTGGCAATACATTGGGGTGCCAAATTGAGTTATGTTCCAAGCCTGTGAGAGAGTTTCCTTTACACCTAGTTTTTCATGCCATCTCTTATCAAAAGAAACCTCTAATTTTTAGGAGTAGGAGTACAGTTTAGCATGAGCAGACTATGATCAGAAAAACTTCTAAAAATGTTCTGAACTTGTGCTTCTGGGTGGATTAAGTGCCAGTCAAAGGAACCAAATAATCTGTCCAGTTTCTCTTCAATGAATCTTTCATGCTCTCTATTGTTGGCCCAGGTGAAGGGATACCCTTGTAACTCCACTTCAAGCATGTTCATCTGGCTGATAGAGTAATTAAAAGGGTCACAAGAGTTCTGGGTTCTGACTGTGCCTCATTTTTTTCCTTCTGGCTTGGTGATGTCATTGAAGTCCCTGACAAAAATCAAAATTTTCCCCATTTTTGCTTTGCTGAAATGAGATACTCCCATTGCACTTTTCTTTCTTGAAGATCTGTGCTGGCATAAACGAAGATTCCCCAACAGACAATTTCTTTTTCTTCATCCCATATTTCTATCTCTATACAAAAACTGTGTTTGATTATTTGGAAAACTTGGACATTTGTTATCCCAAAATAGGAGGAGCCCTCCAGCTACTTTTTCCTTGAGGTTCCACTGAAGTCCAGCTACTTCTAACCCCTAAGTTTTTATAGATAGTATTAATAAAGAGTTTTTTTTTTTTGTTATAGAAAGACAAAACTTGCGTGATGGAGTTTCTAAATCTCCTCGATCTGGGGAACTGTAGAGGGGCCACCTGCACCTCTACAATTCCACACCGCAGCCTTCATGTATCTTGTTGGAGCCATTTGGGGCTGGCCTCCATCACCTCAACAATATCTACTTTCTGTTTATTTAGCCTACAACTCTCAGGTTCTTGTGATCCTTCCAAATCGCATGTGTTCAGTGTTTTGAAAACAAATATTATATAACAAAAAATAAGAAAGTTCAAATTAGAAATAAACAAGTAAAAAATATTCGTATTATGAAACGATACTTAAACAAATATGAACTAAACAATAAATGATTAATAGCACTACAACAAAATGATGAAATNATCTGTGAAAATGCACACTAGCAAAAACTGAACTTTTAGAAAAACTGAACTGAAATAATTGAATTACTATTATTTAATTTATAAAAATACATATTTATTACTTTACTATTTATTATTTAATATTTTATGTTATATTTGGCTAAGAATAAATAATTTATTTATTAAAAAATGTACTAAAATAATATTTTTTATGTAATACAATCGTGAAGAAATAAGAAATACCAAATAATAATAATACTAATTTTTTATATAGTTCGATCGTTCAATTATTCCAGTTATTTAAATAAAAAAAGTACCAACATCAAACTGAAATAACAGATTTTTTAAAAGGAAAAAAATGTCGAACTGAAACATAAGATTTTCAACCAAAAATTTTAGTTCGTCTGATTTTGTTCGATATTGTGCAATCTGATAGTCATTAATGTTCAATTTGTATAACCCTAATGTGCTCTCGCAATACTAAATATATAAAAATCTAATAATATTTTTTTTCCATATAGATCGGTTTGATTATTTATTTTAATCATTAAAGTCGACATCGAACTGAAATAACCGTGATTTTTAAAAGTAAACTCAGATAATCAAACTGAAATATAAAAATTTGAATCGAAAATTTTAATTCAGTCAGTTCGATCTTTATTGCGCAATCTAATAGTCATTAATGTGAAATTCATTTAACGCTAATGTGCACTTGCTACATATACATTTTTTATGATTTTTCCAACACAAAGTAAAACGAAACTGAAATAACCAATTTGTTCGATTGGTTAACTGAATTACCCTAAATAATTGAAATTATTTATACTCTATATTATAAAAATATATTTAGTATTTAAATATCTGTATTAATATTTTATATTATTTTTTGTTGAAAATACATAATATATATATATATATAAATATATATATATATATATTTATATATATATATATCAAAATCCATAATATGCATTCACACAGGCAATAATGTGCATTCCGTCTACCATTATTGTACAACCTATCGATCAAGTATTTTTTATGTGCATTTTCAATTTTAAACACATTAATAATGTGTATTTTTTAATGTGCAATTCTACATGTTATAAAGCACATTATACCTAACAATTTTTGGGCATTATTGAACTTTTATAAAATTGTAGATTTGACCCAAGGTTTAAATTCAGATATATTATAATTTATGAAATTGCATTTAAACCCCTGTAAATTATCAAATTCTCAAAACAATGCCCAAATCTACAGTTCATTCCAGATGTGCATGACGTCGATATTCAGGCCGCAAACCGCCATGAATCGCTACCGTAGGTAGCAGCGACGCCGGTTGGTATCACCAGAATATACGAGATTATTCTCGCTGCTGATCGAAACCTCCGGGAGGATTGTTGACCTGGTGAGCGTCATTATTGGCATCCTCTAGAACGAATCGGCGCGTTAGCCAGGTGGCGGTGGAGAAGGTCCTCCGAGGCGAAGAGCTGAAGTCGATGCCAGATCTCGTAGGTGGACGGCTGTCGGACCTCGACGATGCTTCTGACCGCACAGAGACGTACGGGCGGCACTCTGACTAACGGAGGCGGTCGGACTGCCGACGACTGTTAGGTGATGGAACAGCCGGCAGGCAGCGACGGATGGACGGTGGTGTTTCCTCTTTGCATGTGTGTTGCACTTGTAGGTGTGTGTTTAGCATGTGCAAGTGCGTGTGTGTGTGTGCGCGCGCGTGGAAAAATGTGTGTTCTGTGTGTGTGAGAGAGAGAGGGTGGGGTGAGGTTTGGTGGGACCCACTATTGGTAAGTGATTGGAATAGTGACTAATCTACCCTTAATGAGTGTGAAATTTTGGCTTTTTTTTTTCGCGGTTGGATCATCCGATCCAATGGCTAATATTTATTCTCATTTCTTTTATTGAGCATCATTCTCACTGGAGCGTAACCCTATATAGATATATATTACAACAAAAAAAGAAAGAGATATGTAGTAGCAATAGTGTAACAGTTATGCCAAAAATAATATTACTTATCATTTATTATAATAACAAAAAGCATATTAAATCACTTTCTAAATCATAACCATTATAATTTTTACATAATATTATGATATTTATTGTATAATGAAATCACTTTCTAAAAATGATAAAATTGACCTGTAACCTTTTTTTGTGTTTTTGTGAGAAACCTATATATATAGGTTTTATTAATTATATTTTGTTTATTAGGTTTTGGTTATTACTTTACCAGATTAGTAAATGTGAAAAAAATAAAAGAAATAAAAATAGTGAAAATTTGTATCATTAGCATGGTTTTCAAAACCGGGCCGAACCGCCCAGTCTGACCGGTTAAACCGGGAACCAGCCCCTACAGCAGTCCGATCTGAGGTGTTAAACCACTTGGCACCAAAACCGGTTAAAATATGTTCTGGCTGTTCGGAAACCAGTAAAACCATAGAACCGATACCGGTTCTAACGGCCTAGCGGCTTCTAATTTAATAGCTTGTGCTGACTTTTTCATTATAAGCTTTTCACTTCTTTGATAGTTATTCGGTGTGGGACAAAAATTGTTTCCACTTTTCACATCCCCCTCCTTTTGCTTATGGCGTGGGCCAAAAAGGCCCACTGAATGTTCACTGTTTGGGCCTTTTTTAAGTTTATGCAAGAGGAATTTGCACCCCTTACCATCATATATGATTTATATTACACTTATACAACCAATTTAACTTTATTTATAAAATAACTAAATCAACCACAAAATATTACAAATATACCTAATATCCACTTCAACAGTTTTTAAGATATTTTTGGGCAAATTAAATGTGATTGGATCATTAATTGGTAAGATATATTATTACCAAATATCAAGGAGATATTATATCTCTCTCTGCAAAACCGCCTACGATCTCCAATCCTATGCAAAAAACTTCATTCCTTTCCCCATATTTTCTCAACGGCGACAGCAAAACTCCCCATCTCTACTCGAAAAAAAAACAACAAATGGTGGGCGGAGACTGCCAGTGAGCGGCGGTAGTTATGGGTTGCCGATAAAGTGCTCGTCCAGGCCGCAGAAGAAGTCCAGCAACATCACATGAAGACACGCCTGCGCAAGACCCGGCTCTGGAACATCAAGGAGAATTGGACGATCAAGGAGATTAACGGGCAAGTGAAAAAAGAGGTCGAGAAAGCAAACTTTTTAGGGGAAGTGGAGAACCGGACGATCCGCAAGGAAGGAGCGACCTTGGCCTTGTTCGGTGAGAAAATCGGCAGAGAGATGGCGCCGGCGATGGTGGCTAGTGTTTCCATTTCCGATTGATTACATGCATATGTATTTTACAGCTGGGAATGGTTTTTTCCGATTTTAATGACTATTGAATCTGATGAGTTGTTCTCAGATTTTGTCGTCGACGTTGATTTTTCTTTCCATTTTTTTTCTTTGGGGCTTCAATTTTGGGTTGACGATAAAAGTACTGGGACGATCAAGGCAAAGGTATCTCCTTCCTTGCGGATTTTTTTCATTGGTTTGATTTTATTTTAGTTTATATTAAATATATGTATGATTAATGATTGATGATGTTTCAACTTTTTTGAGAATTTTTTCTTTTGTTTGATTAGCTGATTAGTCTCACTTTTTATGAAATTGGTTTATTTTTGTGGATGGTTTATGTTTTTGGATATTGAATGGATGTTGGATGTTGAATAGTATTGGAATTTTGAGGGTTAAAAAAAAAAAACCCACCCCCAATCGGTATATTGNGAGAATAAATTGATTTTTTTAGTTGTTGTGTATATGTATAGTTTATATACATAGTCCATTCATCATCTAATGAATGAAAAAAATCATAGGCGACTCCATCAACAAAAATATTAAAAACATACACCTTTAATATACCTAAACAAAACGATACATAACAGAAGAAGGAGTATATGTTCAGCATATGTTCTGTATATTAGAAGATTTTTTTTGTATAGGGAATATAAGTAACATGTTATAATATGTTTATAAACTATATATATACTTTTATGTATAAAAGTTAAAAAAAAAATAGGAAGACACAATTTTGTGATAGAAGACATGTTTTTCATTGCAACATATACTGATTATATACTAACATAAACGAAATATATATCACCTGACGGCTGCATGATAAAAATATATAAATTTATATATTATACATATAAAATTGATGATAAAAAATAAATACAATTATTTTGTATATAGAGAAATGTCATTATACACTATAAAATTAATGATAAAAAATATGTAATTATATAGTATACATATAAAATAAATAAAAAAGTATATTAATTAAACTGGTTCGACTGGTTCGATCACTGGTCCGACCAGTGAACCATTGAATCGGTAGCTTCACCGACTCGATGACTGGTTCAATTTTCAAAACATTGATCATTAGTTCATTTCTTCGGAGATATTAAAAAGTGTGGCGTATCTGTAAAATTTAGGATTTGGAAAGTTTGAATTAATTGTAAAGCACCGACAACACGATTTTAATAAATATATTAATCCATAAAACCCTTCAACAATTTGCCATTTTATTTTGAAAGCACAAAAAAAAAAATTTATGTAGCAAAAGAATAAATTACTTGTAATTACGTTTTGTTTTTCTAGAAGCGAAAATAAACAATCCGTTAAAATGGCGAATATTGTTCTCGCTAAATTTTGACCTATGCAACCTCACAGTCGTCTTAGGTCACCTACCTTTCCTTTTTGTCTCTGACAAAAGTTTTTAACTAGGGGAGCTTTTTACAGTGAGCCCAGCAGGGGCACTTTCGTAAATTGAGACACTCCAAAAGATATTGAGAGAGGAGAGAAAAAGTGAGCAAAGGGCAGAAAAAGAGAGAGACACAGCAGCAGTTGCGGTCAGTCTGGAGCATAGCGCATCAACAACTCCAACACATACACACCACCAAATTAACTGCAATTTCTACTCTTCCTACACTACACACACTCTCTCTCCTTTAGAATTGTATATGATACAATTTTCTCGCTCAACACCAACAATGGCGGTGTTTTAGCGAAACCACAGTACAGCTCTTGCCGGCAAATTGTAGCTTCTGTATCGTTTCATCTCCGATTTGTCCCCGCTCGCCACCATGTCTACCAAGTCGAAGTAAGTGCAATTGCATTCGTGGATCTGATATCGGATGCTTCTTTTTGATTTTTTTTCTTGCATTTGGTAGATCTTAATTCAATGAGTCGAATCGATCTGCGACACCATTGATAGTCATCTCGAAATCAAGCAAAAAAATTCCTTGTTTGATGGCTAGTCGCTTTCCGGCTCTGAATATTTGTTCGGTTTTTTCGCCATCCTTTATTGTTAATCATGCCGATTTTGGTTTAATTTCTACCCTCGTAACTGAATGCCCTGGATCCCTAATTTCTCAATGCAACTTTTTTTTTTTTTTATTTTTGTGTCTGCACAGATCTGCTGCATCTTCTGAAACTCCCAATGCCAAAGTATCGCCGGCAACTCCTCGCGCGAGTAAGTCCAGCAGCATCAGGGGAGTGTCTAAATCAAACGCTGGCTCAGGCTCACCTTCTCCCCTCCAAAACCCCCGCCTTTCTGTTGATGGCTCTCCCAGATCACTTCCCTCCAAGCCTACTGGACGCTCTCCCAAACTCACCACTCCGCCTGAGGCAAGTCTTAGAAAATTCATTACATTTACGTGTATTATTTTTGTCAACCGGGCTTTTTCTTCCAGTCCAGGGGTAGAATAAGTTTGAAACTTGTTCTCAAGAAATGAGCCCTTTCCATTTTTATAATTATATGTGTATACACATATATTATTGGGGAAAACTGCATCAAGAAGTTTTTTTCTGTTGCATTGTTTCGTTTAAAAGTGTGTTCCTTCAATCTCTTCCCAGAAAAAAGCAACGCCGACGCGCATTCCAAAACCATCAGGGTCAGAGCTTCAGACCGAAATAAATCATGTCCAGGAAGATCTGAAGAGGGCCAAAGAACAACTGGCTTCCCTCGAGAAAGAGAAGGAAAAAGATCTGAAGAGGGCCAAAGAACAACTGGCTTCCCTCGAGAAAGAGAAGGAAAAAGATCTGAAGAGGGCCAAAGAACAACTGGCTTCCCTCGAGAAAGAGAAGGAAAAAGCACTCGATGATCTGAAAGAAGCCCAGAGGCTGGCCGAGGAAGCAGACGAGAAGCTGAAAGAGGCACTGATGGCCCAAAAACGCGCAGAAGAAAATTCTGAGATTGAAAAGTTCCGTGCGGTCGAGATGGAGCAGGCGAGCATCGAAGCAGCTCAGAAGAAGGAAGAAGAATGGCAAAAAGAGCTCGAGACTGTGAGGAACCAGCATGCAGTAGACGTGGCTGCCCTTTTAACTGCCACTCAGGAAATTCAGAAGGCAACGCAGGAATTGGCGATGATACGCGACGCAAAGGACCAGGCACTGCGCCATGCGGACGACGTCACGAAAATAGCCGAGGCCCATGCTGAAAAAATCGAGCTTCTTTCCTCCGAGTTGGCTCATCTGAAATCAGCCCTCAACTCCCGTGCAGATATTGAGGCCAGCGAGAACAATAAATTGGTCACCAAACTGCAGTTGGAGATAGAGTCCCTGAGATGCGAACTCGAGAAGGGGAAATCACTTGAGGAGACGTTAAAGGAAAAGGAAGTGGCCATGGAGCAGCTCAATGTCGACCTGGAGGCCGCGCGAATGGCTGAGTCCTATGCCCGCAGCATAGTAGACGAGCTTCACGAGAGAGTTGAAAATTTATCGTCTCACGCTGAACAATCAAAGCGGCTGGAGAGATCTGCATCCGAGTCTCTGGAGTCTGTCATGAAACAGCTCGAAGGGAGTAACGACTCACTGCACGAGGCCGAAGCCGAAATCGCGGCCCTCAAGGAGAAAATCGGCTTGCTCGAAATTTCGATGCGGAGCCAGAAGAAGGATCTCGAGGAAGTCGGGCGCTGTTTTGATGAGGCTAAAGGCGAAGTATCAAAGATGGGGAAAGAAGTCGAGTCCCTCAAGTCGGAGCTCGAGATGGTCAAGGAAGAAAAGAACCAGTCTCTGAACAATGAGAAGCTTGCAGCTGCGAGTGTCATGACTCTACTTGAGGAGAAGAATGAGCTTATCAACGAGCTGGGAATTTCTAGAGACGAGGAGGAGAAAAGCAAGAAGGCTCTGGAAAGCCTAGCCTCGGCCTTACACGAAGTCTCTTCAGAGGCACGGGAATCCAAGGAGAAGCTTCTGTCGATGCAAGTTGAGCAGGAAAACTACGAATCACAGATAGAAGATCTGAAGCTTGTCCTGAAGGCAAAGAATGAGAAATACGAGAGCATGCTGGAAGAGGCAAGACTAGAAATTGAAGAGCTGACGGGCTCCATTGATAATTTGAAGCATAATCACGAGAGCTTGAAGGCTGAATGGGAGCAGAAGGAGCTTCAGTTGACAAACACTGTAAAAAAATCCGGGGAAGAGAAGTCGTCCATGGAGAACGAGATCAACAGGCTCATAAATTTACTGAGAGCATCTGAGGAACAGGTTTTTGCAGCGAGGGATGAGTGTGTCAGCTGGAAGAATTCGTTGAAAGAAGCCGAGTCAGAGGCTGTATACCTAAAAGAAGTATTGGGTGAGGCAAAGGCCGAGAGCATGAAACTGAAAGAGAGTTTGATGGACAGAGAGAATGAGCTGCAGAACGTGCTTCACGAGAATGAGGAGCTGATGAAAAGGGAAGCTGCTTCCTTGGAGAAGGTCGAGGAGTTATCTAAGCAGCTTGAAGAAGCTCTTTTGGCTAACAATGGTAAGAAAAGGCAAGAAGAGGGAAATGGCGAGCTGACGGATAGTGAGAAGGACTACCACATGCTTCCGGAAGTTGTGGAGTATTCCGAGCAAAATGGGACTATGGGCAACGTGAAGCCCAAGGTGGTGGAGGAGGAGAGGACGCTAGCTGATGATGAAAAAGAAAAATCCATTCACGAAGTGGAAAATTCGAACAGCAAAATTAAGAATGAGAATGAAAAGGAAAATTCTGATTCTGCAGAAGTTGATTTCAAGATGTGGGAAAGCTGCAAGATTGAGGAAAAGGATTTCTCCCCTGAGCATGAATCGTTCGAGGAGGATGAGATCGAGTCCAAAGCTGATGGGGCAGAAAGCTTTGATCAGGTGAATAATGGGGCAAATGAGAATGTCGACAATGGTGGGAACTCGCCTTCCAAGGAGCAGCAGAGTAGTAGTCAGAAGAAGAAGAAGCCTTTGCTCCGTAAGTTTGGGAATCTACTTAAGAAGAAAGGCACGACCACTCAGAAGTAAATCTACTGGCTTTTACATGTTTTTATCGATGCTTTGGCTGATTTTTTTATTTTTATTTTTTTTCCCCCTCTCTCTTTCTGAACACGTGGTCTGAACACGAAAGACTTGAGTATCATGTTTAGATTATTATTATTTTTTCTTCTTCCCCTAAGTTTCTTACCATGTGATTAGCCATGAGTTTTCTTGTGAGTTTTATCTTGTAAAACTTTGTGTTTGTTTATCTGGGTTTCTTGCTTTCGTTGATGATGAGAATACCTTGTCTTTTAAAATGTTTTTGATATGCTTGTTGGATGGATGTTTTGTGAACATAAATTGGCATTGGTATGTTGTGTAATTATGCTATTATTTTGTCTTTCTTGACTTTTATTTTTATGCTCTGTGCATGATTTGGTTGAGCTATTTCACGATGCGATGGTTGTTTAATTACTACGAAATCGTGGAAGTTGCAAAAGGACACACACACCAAAGTACCAGCATTTGTTTGTTTTTCTCCAGTTTTGATTGCCTATTTTTTTTCTTTTCTTTTCTTTTTTTTTTTCTTATTTCTGGTGACATTCAAATTTCAAACCATGGTTTTTTCGCCTGACCTGCTTAAAAAAGTAAAAGTTGACCTCAATTGGATATAGATTTTCTTTTAAGAAATTTTGGGGTATTGGATATAAATAAAATTAATTTTGATTGAATATATTAGTTAAATTGAGTTAATTTCGAATAAAGTTGATTGAATGACAGAGTGTGATATTTTTAAATTTGTATCTGAATAGTATTTAAAATAAATAATTAAAATTGATGTGATTTACTAGTATGAGAGAAGTTTTTGAAATTATAGGTAGTTAAAAATATATGAGTGGATAAATAATAAATTATAGGAGAGTTGGTTGGATTTCAAAATTAGTTTTAGGTGGTAGCCAATCGCACCCTTTTGTATCCTCGAAAAATGGAGGTGGTTGTATTTGGATATAAACTGGATGAATAATAATTAGTGTAAGAATTAATAATATTTTAAAAGAAATTATTGTGACAAAAAAATATAATACTTAATTATGATGTGATAACAAAATAGGAAAATATTAATTGATAGTTGTAAATATGTGAATGAATGAACATTAAATTTTATAAATACGTTTGTGATAAAGACTAATTGTTAATATAAAATGTGTTGGGAAAAAGTGAGCAAAATATAGAAAATGTGAATATAATGAATACATTTATATATATTGGAAGAGATAGATGTTTATTTCAAAAGTGGAAAAACGACATTTTATTTAAATAGTTTGACTTACTTATAAAGGATTTTTTTAATGAAATTTATTGATTTTTTATCATTTTGTATGAAATTTAGTTATCAGAATTGTTTGGCTTCTTATTGTGTACTTTAATTTTTAAAACTCTAGGCTAAAATATTGTCCAGTTTTTTGACTAATTTATGTCTCCCATTTCACAAAAACATTTACGCATGAATAAATTTGTTTCAAAATGCAAATATGTTTAAAAATGGCTAACAATAGTTTTTGATATCACGTTTTCACAATAAATAAATAAAATTAAAATTAGTCATTTACATCAATATTCCAAGTCGAATATTTGCAGCATTTTAATATTTTATATATGAAATCATATGTTGTTTAAAGGTTGTGTTTCTCTTTTCTCATTAAAAAAATAAAATAATGATAAAAATAAATAAATTAAGAGTTAAATAATGATAAATGTTGATATGAGCAAAACTTATTTATGATAAGATTATTTCGAAACCTTTCATGTGAACCACAATTAAATATATGACCGTATAGAGCGGTACAACTAAATAAATACGTGACCGCACTATAGAGCATAAAACTAAACAATAAACCAATAAAAAATATTTAATGCACCTATTATACAATTTGAGAACGATAAACTAATAAAAAATATTTATTGACAAATTGAATTATTTTTCATATATTGTTTATATATTGATACTTATTTATTTTTTTTATTTATTTGTAGAATGGACTTTTCTTATAATTAATATACAACCTTTGACAAATTTTAATACATACCTTTCAAGAATAGTATATAAAAGATAAATATAACTAATATACAATTCTCTTTCACGTATTGAAATTTTGATTGCAAAATAAAATTTGGCGAAATAGCTATTTTCATCCCGTTCTCAACATTGAATAAGTTTTTCATATTACCTAGTAATAAATTAACCTTTTCACTCCACAAAGTGCGAAATAAATTATGCAACAAACAGACGAAAATATTGATAAAGTAAAAGTACAAAATATATTATGGGATAAACTACGCGACACACGGACAAAGATAATTGATAAAGTGCGAAAATTTATGCTATTCAATATGCGACAACCAATCAGAGATAATTGGTAAAGTGCGAAACAAATTAGGCGATAAATAATGTGACAAACATACAAGATAATTGTTAAAGTGCGAAACTAAGTTATGCGATAAACAATGCGACAGACATACGAAGATAATTGATAGAGTGAAAAATAGATTATGCGACAGACGTGCGAAGATAATTGACAAAGTGCGAAATATTTATGGGGCAACTATGCGAAAGAGATGATAAAATGCATAATATTTATGAGATAAACTACATGACAGAAATTTCAAGATAATTGATAAGGTGCGAAATAATTATGTGATATGATATGTGACAGACATGCGAAGATAATTGATAAAATGCGAAACAAATTATGTGATAAAAAATGTGACAGGCATGCGAAAAAAATTGATAAAGTGTGAAACAAAATGTGCGATATGATTTACGATAGACAGACGAAAATAATTTATAAAGTGTGAAATAATTAGTGATAAACAATGTGACAGAGATGCGAAGAAAATTGATAAAGTGCGAAAAATATAATGTGATAAACTATGCAATAGAAAAATGAAGATAACTATATGAAAGAGAAGAGAAGATAATTGATAAATGCGAAACATTTATGCGGTAAATTACACGACAGACAGGTCAAGATATCGATAAATTGCAAAATAATTATGCAATACAATATGCGACAACAGGAGAATATAATTGATAAAGTGCCAAAAAAATTATGTGATAAATAATGCGAGATCAGACGAAAAAAATTGATAAATTGCGAAATAGATTATGTGATAAAAAGGCGACATACATGCTAAGATAATTGATAAAGGACGAAATATATTATCCGATAAACTAAGCGACAGACAAGCGAAGATAATTGATAAAGTTCGAATATATTATTTGATAAACTAAGCGACAAACATGCGAAGATAACGAAGTATTTATGCGATAAATTATGCGACATACATGCAAAGATAATTGATCAAGTGCGAATACTTATGCGATAAACTATGCGACAAACAATCGAAGATAATTGAGCAAGTGCAAATTACTATACGACAGACAAACGAAGGTCATTGAGCAAGTGCAAATTACTTATGCGGTAAACTATGCGACAGACATGCGGAGTTCATTGAGCAAGTGCAAATTCTGTATGCGATAAACCATGTGACAGACAATTGAAGACAATTGATAAAGTGCGAAATATTTATGCGATAGACAAGTGAAGATAATTGAGCAAGTACAAATTACTTATGTGAGAAACTATGCGACAAACAAACGAAGTTCATTGAACAAGTGCAAATTACAAGTTTTTGATATCACGTTTTCACAATAAATAAATAAAATTAAAATTAGTCATTTACATCAATATTCCAAGTCGAATATTTGCAGCATTTAATATTTTATATATGAAATCATATGTTGTTTAAAGGTTGTGTTTCTCTTTTCTCATTAAAAAAATAAAATAATGATAAAAATAAATAAATTAAGAGTTAAATAATGATAAATGTTGATATAAGCAAAACTTATTTATGATAAGATTATTTCGAAACCTTTCATGTGAACCACAATTAAATATATGACCGTATAGAGCGGTGCAACTAAATAAATACGTGACCGCACTAGAAAGTCCGTCGTCTCAGGAGCCCTAGAAAGTCCGTCGTCTCAGGAGCATTGTACCAGAAACACATGAAGGAGGTTTTCAATATCTTGATACCAAAAGTTCTAAGAATGAAAATCCCTCAAGCAATGAGGCAGAGGATCGTGGGCCGGGCCGAGATCAACAACTGGAGAAACCTGATGAAAAATTATAAGGACGACAACTTGTATAAACTAATTGATAAGCTAGCTGATAGCTTATAAACTAGCTTATAACTTATAATTAATTTTCGAGCTTATAGCTTATAGCTTATAACTTATAGATGAAAAGGTAACTTATATATGATAAAAATATTTGATAAAATTAGCTGATAAGCTTACTTAAATAAAAATTTCAATAAACTAATTTAAAAAGCTATCCAAATAAGTTATGAGATAAACTTGAGTTTTGTAAAAAGCTTTCTTCCTACAAAATAAAATTTATTTAAATATAGAAAACTTACTAACAAAATAAGCTATAAACGTCACTAGACAAGTAGTAAACATAACCTTATATACGCAAAAATAAGATTGAAACTGTCATGAGAAAGTAAATCCGAAGAGTGGAGAAGAGGTAATTGAAAGGATGTGGGTGGCGGTGATATGCGGCGTGGCTGTGTACCTCTTTGTGAAGCTCTTCTTCTACGAAGACGACACCCTTCTCGATCTCGACTCCTCCCACTCCACCGCTCTCTTTGCCGTCGCCAAAAGGTTATTTACTAGTCCTTCGCCTTTCTTTTTCATTTGTGATGATTTTTCCGCCTTCGATTTCGATATTTGGGGGCTTTTGTGCGTTTGTTATTGTGTGTTGCATTGCAGGCTGGAAAAGCTGTACCATGGGAGTAAAGTCTACGTCGGCATCCAGATTCCGGACGCCGATTCAGCTTCTCGCCGGAATATTGACCTTGTTCTAGTCACTAATCAGTAATCTCTCTCTCTCTCTCTCTCTCTCTCTGTCAGTCGTTTATTTCTAGGCTTCTTGCTTGCGTACTATTGATTTTTACCATGGCTGCCTATTGTGAATGTTCCTATTTTAATCTTCAAATATGAAAAAGAATTTCTCTTTCTCATTTGAATTTTTATCAAGAAATCAAGTGAGCTTTTGAATGAGCGATTAGTTGATTTTCTCTTATCATATTGCCTCTGCAGGGAGGCCGTGGTGATTTCCGTGAAGAATTTTTCAGGATTTGTGTCCATTAATAAGGATGGTAATTGGATTTTCACTGATGGGAAGCACCACAAAACCAATTGTATTCCTAATCCTGTGAGTTGTTTTTCTGTTTCTGGTTCACTGTCTGTTTACCTGCCATCCAAAATGAATAAGGGAGCTAATGCTATAACTGATCAAATTTTATATTTGTTATGAACTTTTTTCTGTTTGACGTATGTTGGACTATTATACCTCAACTATCTTGCTCCTTGATGGGTTCAAAGGCATAGAAACTTTATAGGGAACCTGATGCATGTATCTTTCATGATTTGTTGCTAGTTTGATGCTGAGATTTTCCAGTTTCACTTTCAATCATGACATTAAAGTGTTTTGAGTAAAATTTGTTACCTCTTTCTTTTGTGGTCCGTTACATAGTCCTTGCATCAGTGTGTCAAATTCTTCAATTCAGGTTGCTGAAACAAGACAATTGGTTTCCATTCTTGAAGAATATCTTGAGCAAAGGGGAGTCACGCTTCCAGAAGGATATTTGTCTTTTAAAGTCATTTGCCCGAACCCAAAATTTTGGTATGTTTTCCTTTCTCTTTTTAATTGGCGATGCTCATAAGTAAAACACCCTCCATTGCATGTTTCATAGTCTAAGCTACAATTCCCACAATGACTTATAGTATACTTTGATAGGGAAATAAGTCAAACCGAGATGGTGCATGTGTTTGTGAGACTTATAATTGGCTTTTTATCGATTATCGAAACACCATCTCTGTCCATACCCACATTCCATTGCTCTTGCAGTTCAATTTCAGACTCGTTTCCGCCTGAGGTTATTCCTTACGATCAGTGGAAACAATTAAAACCTGAGACGAAAGGTTCGTATTCTGGATGGATCAAAGGTGTTCTTCATGGTGGAAAGGATAAAATGAATAACTCCATTCTCGAGAAGCTCAAGTCTGTTCTAAGCACTGTTCCAATTTTAGATAGGTATGATTCCCTTTCATTTCAGATTATGTTACTAGTTTATTGCAGTATTTGTCAGTTTCCATTGAAGTTGAAGTACAATTTTTGTGGATTTCTAAGGTATAATTACAATCAATGATTTAAAAACCAGATCGATGGACAATATAACTAGTATTGTAGTATTAGTCAACGTCCCTGAGTTACATGAGTGTTAATTAAGAAATTTGTAATTAAAACATAAAAATTGGAAATTTTATTTTAAATTTGTAAGCACTTCTTTAGAAAATGTACATTTATATTTTTATTTAAAAAGTCACCCATCATGCATAAGACTTGCATATAAAGGTAGATATAATTATTATCTTATATATATATGCAAAATGAATATCAAATGGAAGATCGTCAAAAGATTATTAATTTAATATTGTGTATATGAAAAACTAATAACAAATTAAAAAATTATTAAGTTTTAAAATAAATTTAAGTTAGCAAAATGTGTTATAATTTTAAATGCTCTAATAGGCATGGGTAAATGTCCTGGAGCAGCTCCGAAGCATATATGTAAGATTATGAAGCAACAAAATTTGGTATGTAGCATTACTTAACATTAGAAGTTTGACACTTAAACTCGAAAAACTCTGCATTTATATATAGAAGGGGATTTATATTTTCTAATGTTATAACTGAAACATTCATTCAATATAATAGTGAGTGATGAAATATTAACTTGGCATATAAGTGAATATATTAATTTTATAATATTAGTTTTAGCATATTTTTTATTTTATAATTTATATATTAATTTACCCTATTGGTATAAGTTATACAATTGTTTTTATTTTACTATAGTGATCATGAGGATTTTATTCTACCAATTATCATACATGTGTCTTTTGTAAATTAAACTAAAAACATATTAATTATTGATTCAAAATACTTGCTCTTATATAAAATCAAAGTAATTTATGCATATACTAATTATTAAGTATTTTAATATTGCATATACTAATTATTAAGTATTTTAATAATTTTTATAAAATAATGAAAAAAAAACTAATAAAAACTGGTTCTCCTCCCTTATCTTTCTCTTTTGGAGTTCGGCGGGTTCTTAGCCGGTTTGACTAGTTCAACGGTGTTCCAGGGTTACCCAGACATGTCCCATGATTGGTTTGCGAACAAAGGCTTGGGTCCAGTTTCTAATCATGGTTTACAATAATAATAACAATAATTAAAAAATAAAAGTAGTAATAACCCTGAAATCGACGGTGTTTATGAAAATGCGCAGGTTCTAAAAAGAAGAAAATAAAAAATTGAGGTTTGATCAAAATAAACAAATACTCGAATAGTGGTTGATGTTAGTTATATGATCTCATGATATTACAAGTTCCCATCATATCTAATTTCAATTCGATCTTATGTTTTAGAGTCTGTCCGAATAGTTAGACTAAGTGAAGCATAATTTCAAAAGGTGCTGCTAAGCCGAGAGTCGAGTGATGTGATCTCAAATTGCATTGCCTCAGGTCAGCGCGACCTATTCGCCGTGGGGGGCAGGGCTAAGGGGCTAAAGGTGAATAAGAGGCGCGCCATGGCATTAAGATCCCCTTTCGAACCTCAACAAACCAACTAGATCTAGAATTTTTAAAAAATAGAGCAAAATATGAAATTATTCTTACAGTACAGACTTTTCAACTATTTTTTTTTAATTATAATTTTTCTTTTTCTATTTTATGTTCTGTCTTTTACTAGTCCTGAGTAGCTGCTAGTCAGAAAGAATTCCTCTTTTCAGAGGAAAAAGCGTAATAGTTGCAGCAAGAAGTTGTGTGAATAAGGTTTGCTGATGATGCAATTATATTGGAAAAAATGTTTGATTGGAAAAAGCGAGTTAAAGAGTAGATGTCTTCTTTTTTGGGTGGAAGAATGGAATATTTTGAGATTGTGAATGGATATCAGATAAAATGTTGATAAAATGTAGTGATGGTGATAAACTGTAGTGATTAAAGTTGATTGATAGAAAAACATCAAAATATGAATGACAATGATTGTTAGTTAAAAATATATCAATGTGTTTTTTTCTGAAAAATATGTAGTAATAATTGATTTGTAGTATTTAATTGTGATTGAGGAGAAAAAAGTGGGAGACGATAAATGTTTTTTTTTTTTTAAAATAAATATGTATCCAAAGATACGTTAAAAAATTATTTTTCGGTGAGATAAATTTATTTTCTATTCTTATTTTTATAAGTTGCCAACTATTATGATTTTTTATTTTCTTCAAATCTTATACTTGAAATTGACGACATCAATAGCATTTTTAGCAATATTTCGTCATATCCATCTTTGCGTTTCCACTTCTTTTCCTTGATTTTGTATTTGCTGAACACTTGTGGTCTTGGCATATACGAGGCCATTTATGTGATTTCGTTGTCTATAGTATTATTATTTTTGTTAACATTGGCGCCTTGTGTTGGCGAGGCCTCTCACTATGGCCTCTCCTCTCGCTTTATGGCCATCCATGGGTAAATCACCTCGGATCTGCATTAGCCATTTAAATGGTTTAAACGACTGGGTTTTCTAAGTATAAAACCGAGTGTCATTCCTGCTCGTGCTTGTGATGTTTTCATAAAAAATGGTGATCTCTTCTCTTGACATAACACAGGTTAGAGCTCAAAGGCAACAGGTACGTTCTTGGAGATTTCATCGAGTTCAAAGGGAAGCAAGATGACCTTGAGGCATTGAGAAAGATCAGGCGATCGAAAGTTAGCCACCTCAGCATTCAGAAGATAAGCATGTTTGGCTTTGGTAATTAACTACTCAACACATCTTCATTCAGTCAAATATGCTTTTTTGAATTGAGGCAAATGATCGAATGCTTTCGGTTTTCCTTTGTACGCGACAGCTCATTCAACCGTCCAAGTTTTGTATTATCCACGTGACTATAGAGTTGAGGGGTCTTCCCACTCTTCAGAGTATGAGGAAGTGACGGTTAAGTCGAGCACAGAAGTCGTTTTTCAGCCGCAAAATTCCACAAAACATCGAAAGTATAAGCTGTCTTCTGTTATTTCCATGTCGCTAAGTGCCTGAAATTTCAAGCAGTAGTGGTGGTTTTTGCTGGTTCATGTGGATCGACAGCTATACTCTTGAGAGTTGAGACGTATACAAAAGTATAGATGCATATACATTTTGAGCTTCTAGAGCAATGTAAGGGACCAGGTTTTTATTGTCTTTACTTTGTTTCACCTTGGTCACTATAAGTGAATGATTCCTACTATGCATGCGGAGACTTTATTTGTCTTTATTTGTAATTAGGGTCGTCTGAGTGGTGTATGAAGATATCTTCGTACAATGAGGGAGGATAATTTGATCTAACGGACTAGGGGACATTATCGGGGAAATATTGGCAGAGCTACCCCTCAGATGACTACCAAATTTGCACCACCCAAATTTTTTAAAATAGCACATAAAAGAACAAGTGAAAAATCACTAATTACTAGAAATAGGGATACGGAAGATAATACATAAAAGTATATATAAAAAGCAACAAATCTCACTCAAATGCATGAAAAATGAAAATACTTGAACAAATGAATACTAAAATGAAAATATACCGACAAAGATAGCACATTGGTCATTGATAGTTGCTATTAGGGTGGCAAATGAGCTTGACGGACATCAGTTTTATTTCGATTCAATCTTTTTTAATGCTATAGTTGCTATTAGGGTGGCAAATTAGGTTGACCACTTCAGTTTTATTTCGATTCAATTTTTTTAACGCTGCTTGAGCTCAACGAGCTTGAATGGACAAGATTATACAAATGCTTGAGCTCGGCTCGAATTTCTTCAATTTCAACTTCGTAAGAGTTCGATTCGAATTTTAAATTTCGATTCAAATAAGTTTTTTTCTTGAGCTTGACCCAAGTTTAATTTGTGTAAGGAGTTTATAGATAATTTGCACTTATATTGGAATTGCTCAAGCTCGAACCTATAACATACGTGCTCGGATTCGCCTTGAATTTGAGTTTTAGGCGCACGAGCTTGTTTTGTATTCGGTAAAACTCGAGCTCAAGCGGAGTTTTGACTGAGTGCTCGCGACTCACGAGCGGCTTATGATCCGCTCTAACCCTTTTAAAACCCTAGTTGCTCTCTTTAGAGCTCCTGGCTCAACAGCCCTTGGAACTACTGATCATCTGGTCATCCGCTTTGGATTTCAAGCATCAGGGATCGTGAAACCACAGACATCTTGATGTGACACAAACTTGAAAATTACACCCCAACTTTAGAAGCGAAGCGAAGTTCAGTCATAGAGGCAGTAGGTTCACAATTTCTTGTAGAAACTTCCACGAACAATCGTCGTTTTTTGATGGTTTTTCCGCTTCTCACAGCTGCTCTTTCCAGTAAGAAGCGAGTGAGTCAATCAACAAAGTAAACAACAGCTATAGAAGAAAGAGTTTCGTTCAGTTCATCTTCTTCCCCTTCTATGAAGTGATTGGACCCTTTTGCGCCTTGACACACATGTCCCGGGCCCTCACCGCATTTAAAGCATTTTGTTCTGCTAACCATTCAACTATTACAGAGTTGAGTATAAATATTCTTCCAACCAACTCTAGTCTCCTTGTACTTTTACTTAATTTCATGTTTTTCATTCGAAGACAAAGAAAACATACATGAAATGAAGCTTCCACAGTAAAATTTTACCGACATCTTAAAACATAAAAAATATCGCAAGTCACATTAGTGGAGACGTATACAATTCAATATTTGTAAGATGAGGGTTTTCACTATTAATTTCCATAAGTCAACCTAACTTTTGAGGTACGAAATTAATAATTGATTTCCTTTTAACCCTATGGGAAATCGCAGTGACTCCGTTGGGGAGGATGCTTTTAGTCGTGTACTAAGTGTCACCAATTTAATTGATCTAAAGTCCATTATATAGGATTATGCACCTACAACTAGAGGGATGCGCATGCTCCAAATATAATTTCCTACCATTCCGAAGGAAGTTCATTCCGGTGATCCACAATTAATTCATTTGATGTGGATTAAGGCGCTTAAAGCCAACGCGAAAATTAACTGCGTCACCAATGAATCAGTAATGAAGGTTGTAGGATTTAAAAAAATATTTTAATTTTAAAAAATCCTTGTCCTACTTGTATTTTATTTTGAGGATTTTTATTAAATTAAATATACTGTAAATATCTACGTTGTCGCGGGCATGGTTAGTAGATATCACAGTAACCCTAGACGAGCACGTTGGTTTGTGGTAAAACACATGGTCAAGTACCGTAAAAGGACTAAGGATAATATGTTGACTTGCAAATTTACCTCTCAACTTTTAGGAGCCGAGTATGGTGTATGATGGGTGTACCGATTTAGCCCAGCATTGCGTAGCTTTGAGAACGTATTAGTGTTGGACTAATACAATGATGAGGTCTGTTGAATGGAACTTTTACAACTTGGTTGCATCAGTTGCCTGCAGGGTCGATCTATAGATTTGATGTGTTTAGCTCACTGTTCAATAATCAATTCTCCAATGCAAGGAAACACGAGAATACCTATTTCACGTTGATCAATATGCAACAACGTGAGAATGAGTCCTTGGGAGAGTATGTTGCGAGGTATGCACAAGCCTATGTGGAGATCCATCAACTTCGGAGGAGATTAAGGCGGGAGGTTTGACAAAGGGTCTTCAGCTAGGTCATTATCGAAACTCATCTGCCAGGAAGCCTGCTAGGTCATATGATGAGATGTTGGAACATTGCTCTAAATACATTTATATGGAGGAGGCAGAAGTGGATTTTTTGCAGAATGATCGAGTCAAAGGAAAACGTCCAGAGGAAACACGAAGACATAAGGAGAGGTCGGGAGGAAGACATAATCAGAACAAATAAAAAGAGGGTATGAGGTTTAAGTACGAGTACTACACGTTGTTGGAATTACCAAGGTGGTTTATTGGAAAAAATGTGTATTTTATATATTTATTAGCGTATTTTTATGTGCTTAATTTTATTACACATATATTTTATGACTTATTTATTTATTAGATGGATTTAAATGATATGATATATTTATGGTTTATTTTCAGAATATTGGAGTAATTTGAGGACGCGAAACAATGAACGGAAGTTGAAGTAATCAACAATGAACGGAAGTTGGAGTAATTTTATGGTTTAAATGCTATGATATATTTTGGTCTGCAAAAAAGTGAAAGAAAAATAATTAATCATTATATGCATACAGACTCACAATAATTTATTTATATTTGTGCAAATACACAGGTCGAATACTAGTATTATTGGAATTTGATCATTAATTCATTTCCGTACAATATTTTATATTATTGTAGTGATATTCTTTTGTCACTAAAAATATCATTATCATTGAGACACTATTTATATAGAAGGTTGCTACAGTAAAGACACAAATTATAAAAATGTAACTAACTTAATGATACTAGTTGTTAAATGTGTCCATTTAAGTCACTCATATTTCATAAAAGCATCATAATTTTTCTAACACGTAAGTGTCATAACTTGAAATTACTTATTTTTTTTTTTTCAAAACCGCAAGTAATATTATAAAACTCAAAATGAGTACACCGGTATATCCAATTGGATACAAAATAACTTCATATTCTTCTAAATATGAACACTAAGGAGTTAACACGAGGAGTCACACGAACTAGGGAAATACCAAACAAGAGAGGCTACCCAACATAAACAAAAACACACAAACCTATAACTAAAAAATCAAATTAACACAAGACGGAACAAAATCCCCACAAGACGAAACAATTTTTAAAGTGCCTAGAATTTCACAATTCTATTAGTTAATAAGTGTCCTAATTTTACAACATTATTTTAATAAAAACATTGGTACTTTATTCACACAGTGAAGATTAATGTTGGCAATTTTAATGAAATCGTTTCAAAATATTGTTGCTAAATAGATAATCACGACGCGTACTAAAAAAGTGTTGCCCAGTCTGAACATAAATAACAAACTATATGATTATGCATAGGTCTCAATATTAAAACACACCCAGTGGTTACTTAGTATTGTTTGGTGCTAATTATTTGTTGTAGTTTTGGAGCAAATGGTTGGCTGCAGCGTGCATGAGTTTGAGCAGTGGGTGTATAGAAACCATGGCAGTTGTAGCCTCATCCTTAGCCTCATACTCTATGGTTGATCGTGTAATGCACATATACTCATCCTTCTCCACAATCTCAAACTTGATCCTGTAAAAGCTAAAACCCAACTCAAGATAACCTCCTTCCACCACTTCTGCCACCTTCACCCGCTTGTCATCGTCCACCACCACAAACTTCTCTTTGTACGACATCCCTGTTGTTTGAGTTTTTCAATATAAAATAAAGGTTTTACTCAACCAACAATATATATATAGAGATTAAATTAATCTATATAGTCAGTATTATGATCAGGATAATCAAATTAATTACATTAATGGAAAGTAATTAGGTACATCTATTATGATGCGATGGGAAACAATAATAGTGGGAAAATTTAAAACTAGTCCCACAGGTATACATTTTTTGTCTTGAAGGAATAGTGAGAAATAAAATTGTCTCAAGACTTTCAAAAATTTATCCAAAGTATAACTTTAGATGCGATTTCTGACCCGAAAAGTCAAGAGGTGGCGTTTTTTCTTGACACGCTGACAACAATCATCACACGTGGCATGACACTATACCTGTGGGGCTAATTTTGAAATTTTTCTCTATTTTTTATATTGTTATGTTCTTCTTTTGTTATATATATAGTAATATTAATATATTATTAAGTAAATCGAAGACAAGCATTATGAATGTTGTACCAATAAAATCCTTGAACACATAGAATGATGTGGCCTATATGTTAATCTCAGTCCAAGTGCAAACAAGGCCCAAGACTGCGAAAATTGCTCCACGACCGGCCCATTCGTTACCACTACGGTTGTCGATCGCTCAATTGGCACGACGATCTCTCACAGAGCTTCTCGGAGAAGATTGTCGATTGCTCTGACTATTTGAGCATGGTTGATAAAGCTGGTAGCACCGCCCTAATATGTCACATCTTCAAAAGACGGATCATACATGGGTACACACGGCATAATCCTACACCCCTAGGTGGCATCACACCTTTGAAGTCAAAATCCTAATTTTGGCTATAAAATCCGACCTCCACTAACAGTTATGATCATCGGGGATCGGTATCACAATCACCACCATAAAATAATCATTACTATAATCCCTTATTCTCTCAAAAATATTACTAGTCGATCGGCCATCCTTGTATTTCAGGCAATGTGCCACACCTATAAATACTTCCATCAATAAAACATGCTTGGAGATCTAAATCTCCTTGTCGCACCCGTTTACGGGCCGGCGAAATCGGTGTCGATTTACTTTAAGTAGTTTCTTTTATCCTTTTACTAAAATTAACCCCATACACCGTCACAATAATAAAGATCCTTGATTCTGTTGC